GGGCCATTTTTGTACTCCAATATGGGTTAACTGGCAACAGTGCAGATTCGTCACATGCCGGGATGTTGGGTTTTTAAGACCCATGACAAATTGTGAAGTTTCACAGACACTGCTTATAAAAGCAGGTTTCTGACCAAAATTTGCCCTTGGCTGTAACATGGGCTGTCCATTGGCCTCTGGCCCAGAAGCAGCTGCATTTCCATGGTGTCATATATGACCATGGAAGCAACCTGGGATCCTTTGGAGTGAAACGTAAAATCTCATCATTAAACAGTGTTGCATAGTCTCCAGTGCTTTGTGGTAAATGGTTTTAGAAGGATGGAATGTAAAGAGGGTTCTGGGATTCTTGATATATTGCAGTTAATGCAGTGTCCCACGGGAGAATGGAAGATCCAAAGGCAACGTGATAGACACAGAGTTTGAAAAGCTGTGACCTCCACTTTGCATCCCCTACAAGCCTAGACTTGTGCCTTAGTTTCCCCTCATTTGAACCTGTTCAACAGACTTTTTTTTTCTTTTTCTCCCATTCATTTTGGATTCTATGAATTAAATTAAAGCAGTCTCAGGAGTTACTCAGTAGTACTAGTGTAGCAGCGATTTGGGCAGCACCTCTGAATATTGCTCCCAACTCCCTGCTGGTGTTCCTAGTGCTTGAGCAGTTCAGAGGAACAGCAGAAACACTGGGCAGCTGAGCCTGCCTTGGTTGCTGGTGTCGAAACAGTGTTTGCTTGCTCTTAATCTGGTTGCTGTCACACTCAGAATCACAAAGTCATAGAAACACTAAGGTTGGAAAAGACCTTCAAGATCATTGAATCCAAGCTTAAGGCAAAAGCTATGCCAAGTTTAGTTTCACAGAGAATCCCAAGCAGGTGGATTTCTCCTCCCTCTTATTGGCTCTCACCTCTGTTTTTGTCCTTGGCAAATTTTCACTTTAATCACTTTATAGCTATGGCATCTGAATACTCACAAGCACTAGGTTGCCTGAGGCAGAAGAAGGGAGCATATTCAGAACCCTTAGTCGGAGACATCCAGTATGACCCAAAGGGAGGTCTTGTACTTGAAGGCCTTTGCCTCCAGAAGAGTGTTTGAGGTGCCCTGAGGAGCTGATAAGAAACATGAGCACTGGTAACAAGGCTGAGCAAGCAGGCGTTTGATTATTTCTCAGTACTTATCAGAGGAAGTGTGAATCTCTCCCTAATTAAGAGCTAATGCCAACTTCTGTGAAATTTATTGTCATTCACCTGTGAATTATCCTCCTCAAATTTAACTTGACTGCAGGAAGCCTGCTAGCTGTAACACTTTCCTCCGTGAGCTTAATTTGGATGGTAAAACACCTCTGTAGCTGCTTATTGAATGGGACTTGATGCTGGTGAGCATTGAAGGCCTGGAAGGGCAGTTTGGGTCAGCACTTAGAAGTTTAGGTATACCTCATGTCCTGAGTATTTGAAATAGAAATAGAGCTCTTCCGGCAACAGGACAAGAAGGAATGGCTTTAAACCTAGAGTTGGACTAAACTGGATTTTGGGAAGAAATTCTTCCCTGTGAGGGTGGGGAGGTCCTGGCACAGGGTGCCCAGAGCAGCTGTGGCTGCCCCTGGATCCCTGGCAGTGTCCAAGGCCAGGTTAGACAGGGCTTGGAGCAACCTGGGATAGTGGAAGGTGTCCCTGCCCATGGCACGGGGTGGCACTGGATGAGCTTTAGCATCTCTTCCAACACAAACTATTCTGTGATTCTGCTTGCAGGCGCTCTGGAGAGGGGAGGTTTCCAGTAAAGGTTACACGTTCAGAGGCCTGAAGTGAGATTTCTAATTAGTCAAAGTACAGGTAGCCTGCCCAAACTAGAAAGACGAGTATGATGTCCCTGCACCCAAGTCATTTAACTATTAACCCTGAAGGAGAGTAAGGAGATATCTAAAACAATGACCCAGTTAATTCTGGGCGCAGCATTTGAGTGCAAGGTTATTTGTTGCTACCTGTGGGTCTGGTGATATCATCTGCAGACTCTTGGCAGAACAGGAGGCCAATATTTTTAAGTTGGGTTTTAAGGTGGATTTGGTATGAATTCATCTGGATGTAATCTTATGACTTTATTTATCTGCTGCTTGTTTATGCTGAGCTGGGGGCACACGGCCGAGCAGGGACGATTATTTGGACATTAGGATCCAGCAGTTGTGTCCCACAACCAGACTTTGGGGCAGAATCCTGGCCTTTTATTCACCCTCCATAAAACACTACTAATGACTCAAAACCTGAATGACTCTTCCTGTCCCGGAGCCATGAGCTGCATTTAAGCTCCCGTTCAGGTGAGGGTCCCAAGAGGGCTGGTTCCTCATGGCAGTGGCAGCTCTCCCTTCCTTGCACCCTTGGTGTCTGTGGGCTCATCCTGCTGAGCTGCTCCAGAGCCTGCTCTTTGCAGTCAGCAGTGAGAGAGGTTAAAACCTGTGGGCGGAGGCCAGCACAGAGTGCCCATTGTACATGCGTGCATACCAGAGCGGTAACTCCCTGGAATGCTGCACCACCGAGCTTTTACCACCTTGTGTTTGTGTGGCAGCCCAGGAGAGTGTGTACATTGTGTCCCTCTCCACGTAGATTAACAATGTAAAACGGCTGATAAATAAGAGGACTTTTTTTTTTCTTTCTTTCTTTCCCTTTTTTTCTTTTTTTTTTTTTTTTTTTTCTTTTTTTTCTTTCTTTCCCTTTTTTCTTTTTTTTTTTTTTTCTCCTTGATTGGGCCCGTTGGAGGAGGAAGGTGTCTCTGATTCCCATCACCTCCATAGGAACAAGGAGAGGCAAGGTTTAAAGTCAGTCAATTAGGTGGAGCAGCTCCTCGCAACTGGGTGGCTTTTGTGTACTAATTGTGTTAGTAATTAGTAGCTACCACATGGTTTGGGTTCAAAACTATGTAAGGGCATTAATTAGCCCACTCTGCAAAGGGTTTGAAGGACATAAGTGTGATCCTTGCTTCCCAGAACTGAACTGGAGAGGCTAGCTGACCACAGGATGAGTCAGGGCAGGCATGCATGAGACCTTGGATCTGTTAGTTCCTCAAGATCATCTCAAATGAGACCAGTGACACCAGCTCTGGAAAATGAGTCTCTCCATTATTACCAGGAGATATGCATCTCCAGTATAAGTGCTTTTGTGGTGTACTTCTATCTCATGTGAGTTACAGAAACCATCCCTAAGGCCAGATGGCAGCTACAAATTCTCGCTTTTTCCTTTTTTTTTTTTTTTTCCTTTTTTTCCTTTCTGCTTGGGTTGTCAGCTTGTGCTATTTACGGGAAGTTTATCTGAATTTGTGTCTGCTGGGAGCTGGGTGGAGGTCCCCTATAGATTTCATGGAGATCTAGGATATTTAGGACTTTCCACAAGTAACCATACATGCCCAGGTCAGACAAGTGACACACGGCCACACTCCAACGCAAATGTGGATCTATAACTAATAAAAGACACTTGCTATTACTTCCTGCTGAATTCCAAGCTCCTGAAAGATACCTTTAAAAAGCAAAAAGAAGCCAGTGGTACAAGGATATGTGTTTCTTCTAGGTGAGCTGTGCTTTACAGTAGCGTACACTGGCACTGTTTTTCTGATTTGGTAATAGGTAGCAAGATAATTTTTGTTTTTTCTCTATGGCATATTGCTGCCAAGAATGACCTGGGAAATCCCTGGCTGTGCTCAGATCTTGATGGCAGTTGGTCAAGTGTAGCTGAGCTAATCTAGCAGGGAGCTACTCCTGAAAGAGCAGTCTGCACCCCCAGCACCTACTCCTGGCAGGGCCTTCCAATTTCTGTCTCCATTTGCCAGAAGTGCTACTCCTCTGATCTACTTGGGAGTTGTTTTTCCTAAAGTAGTGGAAAATGTATTTATTTCTCTCTACTGGTTTTGTAGACATACACTTTTATGGATTCTTCTGCTAATTTTGTGGCTGAAATTGCCATGAGGGGGGTGTGTGTGGTGTGGCAATGGGGGAGTTTTAGGGAGGGTGCGTGAAAGCACCTCAATACCTTTTAAAACACGCCATAAGTATTACTCTTAACAAGACGTCCTTGGGTGGTACAACTTTTGCCTCAACTGAACATTCATGGCTTCTCCCTTTACCTTTAACTGAGGCTCTGTAAGGTACCAAGCAGAAGTGTTTCCAACTCTAAGGGTTCCATCTCTGATGTTCTAAAGAAAGATAAAATTTGCAAAGCTGAGAGCACAGTCTCTACATCATCCAACCCAAGGGTTTTCCACAGAACAGTCAGGGCATAAGGAACTCTGGAGAACCTTGAGTTTAGCTTTCCTCCATGCACCTCAATGCCTGGGACACTGATATGTCCTGAAAGAAGCCCAGGTGGATCCTCCTGCAATTCCAGTATCCCACAGAGCATCTTGGCCTGCAGTTGGTCTCTAATGAATTATTCATCCAAAGTAGGATTCCCTTCAGAATAGCTGGCAACCAAGGGCATGTCTCTCTCACACCTGGGAAGTGAGGAAATAGAGAGTTTGAAACTGCTGCTGATTCAGAGGGCAGCACCATGTTTTCTGTGCTCTGATCACTGGGTTATTGTTTAACCCAAGGCAAGTGTCTGAGTTTACTTTTTTCCCCACTGGAAACCCTGTGACAGTGAGCCTGTCGAGGTAATGAGGAGGTTCATGGGTGTAGAGAGCTGGCTGTCCCCTCATCCATTGCATAAGTTGGGCTGAAGACGTTTGCATTTAGACAACGGTTTGGGTGTTCTTTGGTTTTTTTTTTTGTTTTTTTTTTTTTTAAATATATGTTCTTTGTCATCAATTTAACAATATACCTGGCCATTGTTCATTGCTTTGTGATGTCAGATCCAGCCCTCAGAAATGCTGGTGAGCCTTGATTCCCATTTTGCTTCAAGGAAAGCCCTTGATGCTGCAGGGGAAGCTTGAATGTGCCCCATGCCCTGTTTCAGACATCTCCACACTCATTTGATACATGTGTGTACATGCTAACTTCTTTTCTTTTTTTTTCTCCTTTCTTTTGACAGTGGCACATTTGGTCTCTTCTGAGCATCTTGCAGCCTCTGGGTGACCAGGACATTGAATTTGGTGGACAGTTGCCATTCACTCCCTGGGATCATATCTGCCCTTGCTTCCCTCATTCCCTCCCGTACTCCCCTTCCCTCCGACCAAACTCCAGGGAGTTGTGGTATTGCCATGGAGCCCAGAGAGACTTTGAGCAGCTCCCGGCAAAGGGGAGGTGAAGCAGACTTTCTGCCAGCTGCTGTCACCTCTACGAAGCCTTTGCCTGTCTCGGGCTGTGCAGGGGAGACGATGCTGTCTTCGTCAGGCGCGGGGAAAGGGATCCCGGTGGGCAACGAGAGGCTGGAGCCCGAGGAAGAGGACGAGCTGGGTTCTGGAAGAGACGTGGATTCTACTTCCAATGCAGACAGCGAGAAATGGGTGGCGGGAGATGGCCTGGAGGAGCAGGAGTTTTCCATCAAGGAGGCTAACTTCACGGAGGGGAGTTTAAAACTAAAGATCCAGACCACCAAGAGAGCAAAGAAGCCCCCAAAGAACTTGGAGAACTATATTTGCCCTCCCGAGATCAAAATCACCATCAAGCAGTCTGGGGAGCAGAAGCTTTCCAGATCTGGGAAAAACAGCAAAACAGCTAAAGAGGAGGACAGATCACACTCCAAAAAGAAGGTAGGTCCCATTCTTTTACATATTCCCAGTTTCTCCCAGGAGCAGAGGGAGAGGGGAGGAATGAATCTTCTCAAACAATCTGTGTCCAAGGCATAGCCTTTGCAAGATTTGGCCTTGGAGTATCACAAGGCAAGCATCATCCTGCACTGCCACATATGCATCAGGAATGATCTTGAACTATCCTTCAGACGAACCAATTCAGAAGAGATCAAAAGTTCAACCAGGCCTCTTCTATTTTTGTATGTAATTGAGTTTTGAGATTAATGATTACATGAGTGAGAAATGAAGGAGCCCACTTCTAAACTGCTTTGTGCCTGAGCACTAATGCTCGAGCCTTTTGGCAGTTAAAGCATTCAACTACATTTTTAAAATAGAGGTATGTGCATGGTGAACAATTGAATTCATTCTTATATTCTGAGTGATGGGCTCCATTATTCTTGATTACAGCATTGTGTGAGTAGCACTATAGTTATGCTACAGAAAATACTTCCTTTATAAGTCTCATTTTCTTCCAGATGCATATAATTTTCTTGAGATATCCTTCTGCAGAGAAATTTTTGGTACTTTAAGTCTGGGTAAAAATTGAACTTTTTTTTTTTTTTCATTTATTCAGGGATGAGAAAAGAAAGAAAATCCTTTCTTCATATGAGTTGTTTTCAGGAACACCCCTTTGATTTGCTGTTGGCTTGATTTTTCTGTAGTGTCGCCTACACTTAGTACATAAACCAAATTTAGTTCAAGTGTATTAAGCAGCACTGCTAAGGACACAAATTTTTGTATTAGTGATATTTTCTTTTCTAAGCATTAGCCAAGTATATTTGGTCAGGTCATAGTAAAAGTACTTCATCTCTGCCTCCTTAGTAACATGTGGCCTTCATGATGAGTTCAGACAGAATCTAGATTTGATAAAAGACATACAAGTGTCTCCAAAACCTGGACAAATTGATCTGGGATTTAGGCACCCACTGATCAGGGCTTGAGTTATGGCTTGGCTTTCCTGCTCATGCAGCTTTGATCCTTCTTCTCCCATACCTTATACACGTGATGGGTGCTCAAAGGGCTACGTAAAGCCTTGAAGAGGCTAATTGCTTCCTCTTTCTGGAGAAATCCTCCTCAGCAAACTGACTTAGACCAAAATTTCATGACTCAAAATCATTTTTTTAGCCATGACATTTCCCAGTGACTCAAGGCAGAGCCCAGGGAGATTAACATCACTCACTTTTGGAGTACTTTTCTTACAAGCTGAACTTGAAAACAAACCAATGGGAAAAAAAAAAATCAAGGGGATTTTTTTTTTGCTCATAATCTTTTAAATGTAGTGTATGGACATGAAAGAGGTAGCTCTTTTTATCACAGAAGAGGTTTGGCCCTATAACACTTTGAGAAGAGATTTTCCCACCTATTGAAAAGGATCAGCTGCCTTCTTAGCACCAAAAATGTCTAATTTCTATTTTCCTGTCCTCCTTTAATGCTTGTAGAGGTCTCTGGGGAAGCAGCAGTTTTATGAGACTATGCTCAGTGACAACATAGGTGTCACAAGCAATTCTTCCAGTGCAATGTAGAGGGGAAAAAAAGAACTGCAACCCCCTGCCTACCATGAATGGACTGCAGAGAATATGACTACACAAAATCAGAGCCTTCGTTTCTATTAGTTACCCTGTCTGATGGGCATGGAAGGTGTGTTCTTTTCTGTGTGGTCATCCAAAAGGTTGAATAAATAAAGCTAAGCAGAAGGAAGTTATGTGCAAAAAAATCCCCCAAACAAAAAACAAACAAACCCAGTGGGAACAACAGCTAAAGAAACCCCACCTTGTAGTGTGGTTATGCTTAGGGTGATGGCTTTAATTGCAGGAGGATAAGGAGTTTGAAAGAAACAGATCAAGGCTCAGACACGGCTGCATCCAGCTTGCACCTGTGCTGCGAGGTCCGAGCTGGCTGGGGCTGTGCTCACACACACCCTGTTCTCAAGCTGGGAGCACTTTGGGTCAACACTGGTCTAATCTGGCCATTAAAACAAAAAAAAAAAAAAAAAAAAAAAAAAAGAAAAAAAAAGAAAAAAAGAAAAAAGAAAACAACCTCAGCACCCAGCAGGTGGGTGCTCTGAGCAGATGGGGAGAAGGCTGCTGCCTCGGTGCACTATTAGCATAACACCCAACGGCTGCCGTGCGGCAGCTGCTGAGCCGCAGCTGCGGCAGAGATGTCCCCAGCAGGGGTCTGGAAGACCCCAGTGCTGTGATCTCAAGGGGTGTGATGGAGACCTACAGCCTGCATCACCAGGATGGGGAATGACCTGTGTGTCCCTGCAGCCAGGGGGATTTCGCACACTGCCTGCCCTTCGGTCCGTGGGGTTGCAGGATTGGGCTGTGAGCACATTGCATCAAGGGGTGATCAAAGGCACTACAGAAAGGGAGGCTGGGAGTGAGTGAGAGAAAAGTTCCTGTGCTGGCAGAGTGATTTCTTCTATGGCCAGTGTCTATCTTGTGGTGGGTACAGAAATTTTTGGGAGGAAGATAACTAGGAGGAGACAGCAAGTTGAAACTCGCATGGAGATGTAGCTCTCTGGTCTATCTGTGTGTTTCCCTGGAAGAGCAGGGCAGGAACCCTCTGCATTTACTTGTAGAACCATTGAGAACTGCAGTAGTGGTTGGTGGGAGGGGGGAAAAAAAAGTGATTTGTCACATTTAAATGGTTTTGGCGGTTTTGAAATTTCAGCGTTAGGATGTTTTGATTGCCTGTTGCTTTAATCAGCACAAACTCCAGAAAAGCAGCTCCTGGCAGCAGAAGGAGGGAACAACACATTTAAAGAACAGGACAGGCCTTCAGCTGGCATCAATTCAGTGTCCTTTATGGATTTTTGCCAGGAGAGTTGGCCCAATGTACACATTTTTCTTGCACATGGGAGCATTATTTGGGTTTACCACCTCGCCTGTGGATGCAGAGAACATACACAGACTGAGCTGCAAGTGCCATTCTTGCGCCTCTGGTGAGTGGGAGTGGTTGTCCTGCACATCATGAAGTAGCACCCAAATTTATTTTTCCCCAGAGGAAGTACAAACTCTATCAGCACTTGAAAAATCCCCTTAGCTTGTTGCATAATATTTCCAGCTACATCTCCAGCAGTCCCCAGTGCTTTGAAATACCACTTAAGCGTTCTTGCAGGAGTTTCAATACACTCAGCACAGAGAGCAAGTAATGAAAACATGGAAGCAATTTAAGTAACAGCATGTGGGTACACAAAGGACTGGTAATGCCAGCAATGTAAAAAGGGACTGTGAACTGGGGATATAGCATTTATTCAGTGGCCACTTAGGGAGGAAGAAGATATGCCTGTTCCTAAGCTTTACACTGCTCTGCTAATTAGGCAATAGGGGTTAGTGCCTAATTTCTAAAGCTGTGGTCCAGAGAGCAGCAGTGATTAGAAGGGGACTGTGGAGAGCCACGATGCTCGTGTGCTGAGGCCCGGGGTTTTTGCCTTTGATTCCAGCTGCTACACTATATTAAAAGACATAAACATGCATTAAATACTTTCCTCATGTTGCTTTTCCGTGTGAGCAATCGCCCCAGGGATGTTATGCGATCCTGAATGGGAGGGGAGGGAATTCAAGAGAGGATCTTGCTGGGTGCAGTTGCTGATGCCCCAGAGTGAGGAGGGAGGCAGAGGAGAGAGTACCAACTTTGGGAACCTCTGCTCTGCTGGCTTGAATGCCTGGCTGCAGCCCAACAACTTTTGGGGGTTTCTTTCAGTCCAGACCATGCCAAGTTTCACATCGGCTTCCCTTACTTGAAAAAAAAGAGTAAGGGTAGTTTCCTAACCCTTTTCCCGGGGCTGCTCAGATGTTGAATTATAGCTAGAGCTGTTTCTCTGGCTGCTTGTGTGGCAACTGGAAAATGCACAAATGTTCTGTAAGAGTTTTCTCTTGTTTCAACCCTTTGGCACCTGGGGATGGAGCGGGCTGAATCGTTGCCACTTCTAAACCCACAAATAGCTCCATTTCATTTAGTCTGATTGGAGAAGGAGGGAAGAAAAAAGCCAGAAGCCCAGAGGATGTCCTGCTGGCATGCTGGCAAGCCCTGCAGCTGCTGCTCTCTCACCTGCAGTAGGGTTGTTCGAGTCTACCACCTCAGCAACACTAAAGGTGCTTTTCCTTCAGATAAGGAAACTTGTTATCAGTCTGGAAGAATACTGAAAAGTGTGGCACCAAAGGCAATGAAGCAACCTATCAGCATTCTCTGCCTGCCATGTAGCATTTAACAAGTCCCAGATGAACAGTTATTTCTCTGGTTTTGTTTTATTTTCTTTTTTTGTCCCTTCCTTGCATTTTTTTTTTCCTATTCTCTTATGTCTTTAAACACTCCATTTTCCACCCCTTATTTCTTTAGGCACAGCCTGACAGAAGTTCTTTGCAGCTTTCATCATATGCATAACATCCTTCAGAGGATGTAAGCTTGCAATTTTGTAATTATTACTGCACTAGGGTTTTTTGAGAGCTCGGGATGGGTGAATGCATTTTATTGCTCTGAGATAAGCACAGCAGCAAGTCACTTGGAAGTAAAGCTTCCTTGTGTGTAGTCAGAGGAAACTCTATCTCTGGATTTTCTAGCAATGCTTTTTTTTTTTTTTTCTTTGAGTTTCTGTAGGTGTTTGCCATTTCTCTGCAGGAAGCAGTTCTAACACTTTCCCCCTTGAAATTCAATTCACAGTCTTCCTTTTCACTGCCCCACATATGCAACTTTTTCAAAGTGATTCACCTTTCCTTGAAGATTCTCTCATTCATGTATTTTTACCATTGCTGATGCCGAATTGATTTTTACCTTTTTTTTTAATATACCTTTATTACACTTCTATATTCTTTACACATACATTTGTTTCTCTGTAGCCTATGATAGTATTTATACTTAGTATTTTACCTACTCTATTAGACAGAAAGACAAAATAAATTCCCTAGTGTCTCCAAGCCGGGGGTCCAAGGTTAGATCCTTGGGGAAGCCAAGGTTGAAAC